TTTATGGACTAACGGCTTTTTTTACACGAAATAATACACAAAGCTTTATCATCTGCAACAAGCCATGTTTCTGATAGTTTCAAACTTGTCAAAAAACTTTCAAATAAATATATACAATATGATTATAAACTAACATCATTAGACGTAATTAACTTTTCACAATTGTTCCTGTAGACTTGGCTTTAAACAGCGTTGCAAATAGATGGACTTTTATAAAAGAAAAATGTGCTATTCCTCACGATGAATTTTTAGGGGCAGTCTGGTTTGTCTTAGATTCTACATTTTTCAAATTCGATGATGTTTACTACAAACAGACCTTCGGCTCTCCTATAGGATCTCCGCTTTCCCCGATCATCGCCGATGTCACCTTACAAGATCTAGAGATGAGGACGAGACGTTACCATTTACTTTGCCGTTTTATTTTAGATATGTTGATGACATTATATTGGCGGTCCCCTCCTTCATGCATAAAAACATATTAGATATATTTAATTTTTTCCATCCGAGATTACAGTTCACGATGGAGAGGGGAATCGACAATCAAATCAACTTTTTAGATGTGACTTTAATTTTAAACAACAATTTTTTAAACTTTGACTGGTATCGTAAATCTACTTTTTCGAGTAAGTTCTTACACTTTGAGTTTCGACACCCTCTCTGCCATAAAAAAGTAACGGCCATCAGCCTCATCGATAGAGCCGTTTGTCTATCACATTCACGCTTCCAAGAAAAGAATCTGTGCCTTGTTGTCAATGTCGTAGAAAATGAATATCCGCTGCCATAAATATAAAAATTTAAGACGCTAAGAGAACGTATAAAAACCTTAATATCTAGACATAAAATTTAACAAAAAAATTCAACTGATATAAGAGCAAATGAGGATAACAACACAAAGCATATTCAATTTTTTAACATCGCATACATTCCGACAATTTCGGAACGCTTCATGACCGTGGTTCGTGATCTGCAGATCAAATTATCTTATACTGGGTTAAATAAATATAAATTTAACATATATAAGACAGGCAATAAGAGCCAAATCGCGGATGACGTGCGTTATCCTAAACGAAACTAAATTTTTTCGTTAGAATTAAATACCTGTGCACAAGGCACCAAATTTTACTTGGACACGGCCAAGATATAAAATTGGAATAATCTCTACAAGAGATTTTTAATTCCATGTACCCCTATTCCCCCTAAAGAAATAAATGCGAGAGAAAAATATAGATCCGAAAGTCGCAGAATCGGGAATCGAACCCGAGACCTTTCGCTTGCCGGGCGACTGCTCTTCCAACTGAGCTATTCGGATCCTTTCGATTCTATATTTTTCTCTGTTATATATATTAATGTTGGTAAACAAACGCCTTTAAGCCAGCGTGTATAAATTAAGAGTTTAACTAGGCTCTGTAATATAAATATAAATTTAACATATATAAGACAGGCAATAAGAGCCAAATCGCGGATGACAGTGCGTTATCTTAAACGAAACTAAATTTTTTCGTTAGAATTAAATACCTGTGCACAAGGCACCAAATTTTACTTGGACACGGCCAAGATATAAAATTGGAATAATCTCTACAAGAGATTTTTAATTCCATGTATCCCCTATTCCCCCTAAAGAAATTATTCCCCTGGGTTAAATAAACTAAGAGAATTTATCCGCATACATAAAGATAAACTCTCGAGAGAATTAAAGAACAACGTAGTTTACAAAATCTCGTGTAAAGACTGTGACGCTTCATATGTCGGACAGACCAGTAGACTGCTGAAAACTCGTATAGCGGAACACAAGAATCACATAAGGAGAAATACAACACAGCAATCTGTAATCACAGACCATAGATTATTGAATCACAAATTTACGTGGGATAGCGTGGAGGTCTTAGACGAGGAACATATTTACGGCAAACGTTTGACATCGGAGATGATCTTTATAAAGAGGCAAAAAACAGGCCTAAATCATTAGTGCGATACAGAAGGTCTATATAATTCCTATCTTTCCGTCATACATGATTTGCAAAAAATTTAATTCTTGTACGCAACTGTCTACCGTTTGTTTGTTTATCCGTCGACATGACTGTGTAACTATTGAATATCTGACAGTTTTGTATTGCTGTCGCGCGTTGAAACATGTAATTTCGAAGGAAAGAAGTGAGTCTCCCCTGTATTATATTGTTCAAATCTTGTGATCAAAAATTTTAATATTTAACAATTTATGACTCGTCAATAGAATGACAAAGTGTTATAAGCCATCTTCAAACAAAAAGAAAAGCTCATTCCTACGGCGGGAACCGAAAGGAGGCTCATGATTGTCTTCTTCCTTTTTTAAACTACTTTAACGCGCATAACAAAATAAGTATGTATATGACATATAAAAAGATTTCATCTGTTTTTGACGTAATCGTCGTAGATCCATAGATATGTTCTAAAAATTTTAATTTTGTTTCCGTTCTTTTTGTACCAGCAGATTCTGAAGATGGTTCAATATCGGACCGAAATGTACATTGAATAAAGAATAATATCCACGAATAATTCTCTGCGCATTAATTACCGCGCCTGGCCCTTAATTAGCCCGTCCTATACACTTTATTATTATTATTGTTTTTGTTTTTATAATTTGTAACAGCTCTTTAATAAATTAATCAACAAATAAAAGGCAATAAGAGCTAGAGTTTAAGAAGAGAGGTTTTTGTTTTTGTTGTTATTATTGTTAGTTGTTCTTATATTATTATTTTGATAATATTTTATTAATTATTATTTTTTAAATATTTAAAATGAACTACTACCATATTATTACTTCCATGAACTGCGATTATTTAAAAACAAATGCAAAAAACATCTTTTACATGTTGCGCTCCTAGCGACCGTTGTCATTAAGCACCCCTAGCGGCCGTTGTCATTTGCCCCCCTCTACTAGAGTTTCCAGATCTGTATGTACGATTGTGGTATTTATTTATTTTATTTTATTTTATTCAAATATTTTATCTTGAAAATATTGTAGTGTAAACTTTCCGCTGTTTTTTCTTGCGCGCGCTACTCGAGTTCGACATATTTTACATTGTGTTGTGTATTCGTAGCACGTTATAAAAAATGTCAATAAACGACACTTTATTAATAAAATGTGTGCGGGCGCATCCCGAAATATACAATAAGGGACATGCAGGATTTAAGAATGCCGGAATAAAAGAGTCTGCATGGAAGATTGTGGCTAAAGCAGTAAATGGTAGGTTATATCGCATGGTTCTTGTATTGTATTTATTTTTTATATTTTACATTATTTGTGTTTTTATATCATTTGTCATGATTTCAGTATCTGTAACAGATTGTACGGCCAGGTGGCATACCCTTCGCGAGAGATTTGCAAAGGAAAAGCCTATTCTTAAGTAAGATGGAAGGTTTGGAGCAGCGGCTTCAACCCGTCCAGAATAGTCTCTTTATAATGTCATGTCATTTTTGACACCTTACATTAGAAAAAAAGTAAGTTTAATATATAATAGTTTATTTCATGTATTTTCAAATAATTGCGACAAATTCTTTCAATTATTTCTGGTTGCAGATCTGTGGACAATTCCATCAAAAGCGTTGATGCCCGCACTCACACTTTCACCAACATTGTCATCAACTAATGAAGAAATATCATTTCTGTCGGAATTTCCAGGCAATAACGAAATAATATTATACAAGCAGGCTGTAAATGATGTTAGCGGTCTGTTTAAAATTATCGCTTCCTGTCCTCTTATCTCGTCGTCTTCACCTAAGTGCAACTCATCAACAGCTGCAAATATACCTTACTTAGGGCCTACTAGCTGATGCAAGAAGCCAAAGATAAATGAAACGACTGAGATATTCAAAGAAGCTCTTGTCTAAAAATGTTGAAACTTGCCTAAAAAATCTAAAAAATATAGTACTAAAACTGAAATACAGGAGGAGATATAGATCTATTGTTCAAGATTGTAAGGAGGAGACTAAAGATATAAATATATCAGATTAATATTACGTGTTAATATTTGATTGTATTATTATTTTATTGTTACTATATATTATCTAATATATTAATTGATTTGAAATTGAAAATAAAAATGTTTAATTCATGTTTTCAAAATGTCTTTGAAATTTAAATGTTAGGAAAACCCATAAAATTAAATTTTAAAATTTATTGCATGCATAATATATAGAAATATGCTCTTTTTTCGTAAAATCAGAAATCAAAAAATCAAAAAATCAAAAAACAGAAATCAGAGTTGTTTTTTTAAATATCTACTTTTAAGGCAATAAGCGCAAATCTTGAGGGATATCTTGAAGATAATTCCTTGCTGAATTCTCACAATTGTATTTTGATGCCGTATAGTTCCAGGCCCATTTACAAATTCTTTCAATGCATCTCGCTGCTGTACAATTCCAAGAGCACCATTTCTTGCAACTAATCTTCGACCATTAATAAGAGCTCCATTCTCTCCAGCTACTATATCATGCCATTCTCCCTCTACCAATTTGCCAGTTGGCAATTTAAAATCCACAAAAAAAGGGGGGCAATATTCCAAGTTGAGTTTTTTGTCGCCTGTCTTGCGGATGAGTTCATCGTTTGTATCATAAGATAAAACAGAATTTAAGAATAAAAGCAAAAAAATTAACGTGGATTAAACGTCTTTTTAACCAATTATTTCATAGTAAATATAACAGTTATATATATATATATATAATATAAATTATTTTATACAGGTCTCATAACTCACGAGCTAACATTCGTGTGTAGATTCTTTAGTCAATTTTAAGATTTCTCAAAATAAAAATAAAAAACGATTAAAAATATACACATAGTATAAAAAAATTAAATCAGTTATGCAAAAAAAATCAATATCACCTGACTAGAAAAAAATCGTATATAAAATGATTGGTTAAAAAGACGTCAAATCCACGTCTATTCAAAGTCAAATTTTTGTGTTTTTATTCTTAAATTCTGTTTTGTATTATACAAGTTATAAATTTGTAAAAAAGACATCGTTACAATCAATAGAAACAAAACTTTTGAAAGTAGTTTAAAAGTGGGTTTAATTTGGATACCAATTTCAACCATACACGGCATAGACGTTTAATAGTCGCCTTTCCGACTTGTCGTTTCTCATTGGGAAATTGTGGAGGCAAATCGCACATTCAACAATGCATTCCACATTGTTTTCTGAAGCTATAATAAGGTGACGGAAAATTCTCCAGCGAACTGCTAAAATCCCAAAAGCATTCTCAATGACTCTTCTTGCTCTACTTAATCTGAAGTTATAGACAGACTTGTAATGGGATATGTTGCGCTCGCCATACAGTTTCATTAAGAAAGGTTTCAGAGGGAAAGCTGCATCTCCGACAAGAAAGTAGGGCATGTTAATATCAGTTCCTGGAAGATTAGTTGAATTTGGTAAATTAATAGAGCTATCATTCAATCGCCGACCCATTTCAGACGATTAAAAAACTCCGCCATCACTTTGTGAGCTTTCTGCTCCTACATCCAGCATAATAAAATTATAATGTGTGTCACAAACTGCCAGTAAAATTATGCTGAATGTCTTCTTGTAATTACAAAAAATTCTTTGTGAAGCTTGTGGAGCCTGCATTTGAATATGCTTTCCATCAATGGCGCCCATACAATGAGGAAACTGCCATTCTTCCCAAAATCCAGCAACCACTTCACGCCATTCCGCTTCATTTGCTGGAGACTTTACAAACACATTTTTCAAGACGCTCACAAGTGCTCGCATAGTTTTAGCTTGAATTTTGCAAACAGTGCTTTGGCCACATCGATATGAAAAGCTTAGAGTATCCTGGCTATCTCCTGCTGCTAAAAACCTGCAAATCAAAGTTACAAATTGAATCGGTTCTGAGAAATTAATAAAAATTTTTTAAAGTAAATATTTGGTAATCTTACCTTAATGCCATAGCAAACATCTGAGCGGGTAAAAGAGCAGTACATATTTCGCTTTTTTAACAGAGGATCAACTAAGCTTAGAAGATACTTGAATCTAAGAAAACAAACATATAATTTACAAAAATAAATTCTGTGGCAAAAAATCATTAATCTTTTCCGCTTCTTCATTACTAAACTAAGCAAGATCAAGAGAATGTAGAAAAGCAAACATATTAATTTGTAAAAACGATTATATTTTATGCAAAATAATTATTAAATATTACTTTCGACATTCATTCTTGTGTAAATAAAAAAAAGAGAAATCACTGAAAAAAATGCTAAAAGATTATCCATCATCAAACTGGATTCTTCTTCGAAAAATCTTTTTTACACCAATAGTTCGAACTCGATTTCTTTTCCGCAATTGTAAATATAAATATCCAACCAAAATTAAATTAAATATTAATAATGTCTAATAATAGAATCCATTTTAAATTTTCAAACACAGCAACTATCAACGAGGAAAACAATAAGAATATTTTAATAAGAGAAAATTTTTGACATTAAGTTTTTACAACGCTATTAAATCATTTTTTACTTTTTTATTACGGCACGTTACGGCGATCGTAATTTCACAGATAAGTTCAACCGATAAGTTAATGTTAAGTTCACGTAACGTTACTTCACGTTCTGTAGCGTTGCGTTACGTTAAGTTCATCGTAATCCCGGCTGTATGCGAAATTCGATTTTTCCGCTTTGCGTTCTGTCTCTTTCTCTCTCTCTCTCTCTCTCTCTCTCTCTCTCTCTCTCTCTTCTCTCTCTCTCTCTCTCTTTCCCTTCTAGCATTTGGATCGATGGCAGGTACATCCTCAATTATTTAAACACTTAATATTTATGATTTCTTGGGTACATTCTATACCACTATACCACTTTGTAAATCATGTAATGAATTTAATGATATTATCCATCGCTACATTTACATTTGTCAAATTATTTATATGTTAACATATAAAAGCAAATAATTAAACAGTCAAAAAATAAATCTTTTAGTTCAAAAAATGATTTAGACAAGTAATACAATTCTTGATGAAAACTAAATATAATATCTTATATTTCATAATTTATTAGTTTATAACTTTGACTATACAGGGTGTCCGGTAACTAACGGACCAACGATTACAAATAGATTCTTTAGTCAATTTGGGAACGACTTTTCCTGAGCGAAAATGTCGAAAAAGGTCATTATTTTTTACAACTTTCCAATATTTGTCATTATGTATCTTTATAACTAAGCCTCAAATTAAAATTTTATTATAGTAAACTCTACCTGAAATTAACTAAAGAATGTAATTATGTTAGACTTTTAACTCCAAAATGTTTAGTTTTCAAAAAACCCATTTTTTTCAATCGCTTAACTCGAAAATTATTGATTTCTCAACATTTTTGCTAAGGAAAAATTGTCTCCAAATTGGCCATAGAATTCGCCCTTAATCATTGATCCGTTAGTTACCGGAAACCCTGTATAAGAATGAACTACTAGCAGCTATATAACTTCACCTGTTCCAAGATGTACAGGGACACCAACACTCAAGAACTAAAAAAGTATAGTTTGTGCTATTATATGGCTTAGAAATTATAGGTTAACTCAGCTCAAGATTAGCTTTAATCAGAACTGAAATTTGTTGAAACCAGACAAGAAGACTAGAGAACAGGAGACCGAACTCCAGTGGTGGGGTGAGTCAAAATATGGTCTCATTTTATGGACACTGTTCGCGGTATAGTCGTCGGCCAATTCATAAACTACGGCGTGCTGGACTTCGCTTCTTTTATCAAAAAAGGTTTCCTATGTGAACTTCGTCGTTCCTAAGTATCGTATATTATTTATTAATACTTACGACACCAAAATTTACATTCTGCTAAGCTTACCCAGTAAACACCGATATAACTGTTACATTGCTATAATAAAACGAAATGTAACAGGTAATATAACGTGTACGTTACATGTAACATCCATGTTAGTTGTAATTTCCCACTTATAGATGTAACATTTTTAATATAACATATATTACATTGTAGTTATATTGTAATTATATACCAAATAGCACATTGATGTATTGATAAGTTAGTGCTATCTTGGGGTATAATGACAATATAACTACAATGTAATATATGTTATATTAAAAATGTTACATCTATGAGTGGGAAATTATAACTAACATATACGTTACATGTAACATGCTTGAATACTTACATGTATATAACATTTATATACCGTGTTTGCTGGGAATATTTATTAGGAGACGCGGTAGTGTCTCCGGCCATGTTCAAACCCTAAAAGACCTTAAAAGACACTACAAGTCTCCTTATCCTGCACCATCAAAGTCCATTTTTTAGGGGTGTAGAACTACTAAAATATAAAAAATTTTGAATTGCACGTAATATAACCTAAAAGGCAGCATCGCCACGAGTAATTTGAGCCAAGAAAAAATAAAATCGGTCAAGCCGTTCTGGAGATACAAGCGGTCAAAAAGTGACGTTTTTCATGAAAAATGAAGTAACGTCGTCTTCTTCTTCTTCTTCTTCTTCTTCTTCTTCTTCTTCTCTGTCCGCGTCCGCTGACGTCATCAGGATTATATATATATATATAAATCTCTTCTCACCTTTCACTCACACCTCCCTCAACTTCCACCCACCCCTTTCCCTCCCACATCCCGCCCCCCGCCCCCACCCCCACTCCCGCCCTTTTTCGCTTCTTTTACCCTCTTTCGTCCTCTCTCTCACCCTCTTTTCACCCTCTTTCATCCTCTTTCGTCCTCTTTCACCTCTTTCACCCTCTTTCGCCCTCTTTACCCTCTTTCGTCCTCTTTCACCATCTTTCGCCTCTTTCACCCTCTTTCGTCCTCTCTCATCTCTTTCATTCCCTCTCACCCTCTTTCATTCCCTCTCACCCCCTTTCGTCCTCTTTCACTCTCTTTCGTCCTCTTTCACCCTCTTTCGTCCTCTTTCACCCTCTTTCGTCCTCTCACCCTCTTTCGTCCTCTTTTACCCTCTTTCGTCCTACCTCACCCTCTTTCGTCCTCTCTCACCCTCTTTCACCCTCTTTCGTCCTCTTTCACCCTCTTTCGCCCTCTTTCACCCTCTTTTGTTCTCTTTTACCCTCTTTCATTCTCTCTCACCCTCTTTCATTCCCTCTCACCCTCTTTCACCCTGTTTCGTCTTCTTTCACCCTCTTTCATTTCCTCTCACCCTCTTTTGTCCTCTTTCACTCTCTTTCGTCCTCTCTAACCCTCTTTTATTTTTTCTCACCCTCTTTCGCCCTCTCTCACCCTCTTTCGTCCTCTTTCACTTTCTTTCATTCTCTCTCACCCTCTTTCACCCTCTTTCGTCCTCTCTCACCCTCTTTCATTCCCTCTCACCCTCTTTCATTCCCTCTCACCCCCTTTCGTCCTCTTTCACTCTCTTTCGTCCTCTTTCACTCTCTTTCGTCCTCTTTCACCCTCTTTCGTCCTCTCACCCTCTTTCGTCCTCTTTTACCCTCTTTCGTCCTCTCACCCTCTTTCGTCCTCTCTCACCCTCTTTCACCCTCTTTCGTCCTCTTGCACCCTCTTTCGCCCTCTTTCACCCTTTTTTGTTCTCTTTACCCTCTTTCATTCTCTCTCACCCTCCTTCATTCCCTCTCACCCTCTTTCACCCTCTTTCATTTCCTCTCACCCTCTTTCGTCCTCTTTCACTCTCTTTCGTCCTCTCTAACCCTCTTTTATTTTTTCTCACCCTCTTTCGCCCTCTCTCACCCTCTTTCGTCCTCTTTCACTCTCTTTCATTCTCTCTCACCCTCTTTCACCCTCTTTCGTCCTCTTTCACCCTCTTTCGTCCTCTTTCGTCCTCTTTCGCCCTCTTTCACCCAATTACGTCCTCTTTCACCCTCTTTCGCCTATCTCGTCTTCTCTTACCCTCATTCGTCCTCTCTCACCCTATCTCCAAAAAATCATAAAAATGAAAAGGTCAAGCCATGTTCAAAAAAAGTAGTTGCGACAAAAGATTGAATGAACTTTGCACTTATATGAATCAATTACCGATTGATACAATTTGTTTATTGCCCACGTGTTATTTGTGCAAGGTTTTGAACACAGCAATGCTCGATAAAATCGACAGCGATGAAATTCTACTGATAGCAGAAGATGATGTCGACTGTGCTCCAGCAATAAAAAAAAAGGTGCATAAAATTTTGAAAGACAAAGATGATAAAGTGTCTGAAACAGCTGGCATTGAAAAAGTAATAGCGATTAAAATTGGCGCTAAAGTGATGATTCGACGAAACATTGACGTAACTTTAGGACTTGTCAATGGAACGATAGGCAATGTAGTTGCAGTTAATCGCTCTGCTGACGGCAATCGTATTGATTCCATCAAAATAGTTATTTCGGATAACAAAGAAATCGCAATAACAAAAGTAGATATTAAATTTGAAGTATTCCACAAATTAGTGGTACATCGGAAACAATTTCCATTGTCTCTCAGTTATGGAATAACTATACACAAAAGTCAAGGAATTACATGTAACAATGCAATGATGGATTTAGGAACGACTGTATTCAGTGATGGTCAAGCCTATGTAGGTTTGTCACAAGTAAGTAAATTGGAAGGTCTACATTTGATAAATTTCAATCCAGCATCAGTTAAAGCAAACTCGAGAGCCATTGTAGAATATAATCGACTGAGATCTATATTCAAATCTGAACTGCCATAAATCAATGCGTCCGAGAAAAAGGTTGTGAAAATGTACGATCGTCGATGGGCTATCCCTAATATTATTGATGATGTGCAGAATTATGATTGTGAGGAACCAGAAAGTATAGTTACGTGGAAAATATATGGTCTTTGCAATAACGATGCTGTTTCGTGTTACGCTAATGTAATATTACAATGTGCGTTTCATTGCGTACGTATTAGGTAACAAATACTGAAAAATAAAGCATCGAATGCATTGACTGATGCTATCTGCGCGTATGGTGAACGTAAATATTGCAACATTCAAGCGGTTAGAAGATCTGTCGGAAAACGCTTCGAAGAACGAACACAACAAAATGTTTCGGAATTTTTTACGGCTCTAATGTCGACGTATTCCGACATCAATGATGTATTAGAACTCGAATTAAAGCACGTAACATGTTGCTCGAATGTCAA